CTACTTCCTGTTTTGAATTTATAGGACACAGCAAGAAGAGCCATTTCAAAGTCCTTATTGAAGGAGCAAAACAAGATCTATTTTGAAAAAGAACTTCATCTTATACAGGACCTAGGGGCTGAATGTAGTCCAGAAAAGTCATAAACATCCCTAAGAAACTATGCCTGCCCTGGTCAAAGTGACCCACCAGGGTACTCAAATGACATCTGCTTGCTTCAGACGTCCCTGTAGGTATCTGATTAACCACTGTTTTGCTCCTGCGGTTAGCACAGGGTCTGCAGATGTCCTGAGGATGTGATCAGGGGACAGCTGCTACGGGTGAACAAGCTCCCCTAGACAATGACAGCCTAGCAGAAAACAGAAGCTAAGTCTTACCTAACCTTTAGCCAATTGTGATATAGGATAAACATTTTTGTACTTTGAAACTGTAACCTTATGACTGCTTTGTGGTTTTTGTCTTTATAAACCCCTTATAATAGTAAGCGGGGTCCTTCTCCTTCCATCTACTATGTCAGACTATGAGACAGAGGATCCATGCTAGCCCACTTGCTTTTGCATTCGGAAGTGTGGCTCTGTGGTGGTCTTCTTGGGGGTCCTTGGACTCAGGCACAGCACTTATCAGCCAATACTGATGTATTTGTCAGTTCTAGAGTAGTTTGAACTGGAGATTTTTTTCTTTTCATCATGAATCACATTTCCTTAGCAGATCTGGCAATCCCTGGGTGGACGCCAAACTTTATGTTGTAATACCATCAATACTTTCGAGTTTGTTCTTGGACATAGTTGAGTTGACTGGAAGGTGACTGAGAGCTGTTTCCTCCTGTTTTATAGTCCTCTCTAGGGCTGGGGTTCAGGGTGCGCATCACTACCGCCAGTTTGTATGATAAACTAGTGTGGCTACTGGGACTAAAGGTGTGTGTCACTGTTGCCTGGTCTGTGAGGCTGACCAGTGTGGCTGCCTTACTTTTCTGATCCTCAGTCAAGTTTTGTTTATTAAAATACAAATGAGTGTCACTACGGGAAGGGCTACTTCGTTGCAGCCCAGAGGGAGCATAGAAGAGCACACAGTAGAACACTACAGACAAAGTTAGATGAAGAGAGACTGAGTATGAGCAGAGAAATCCCACGTCTTTAAGCCACGCTAACATCAGTTCCTCGGTGATGAAGTACTGTAAGGTTTTGACAGAATCTACTACAAATCATTTGCTGCTATAGCCACACACTCTTATATCTTTGGGTTGAAATTAGGCAATAATAAGTTAACTACAATTGCAGATTTGTTTAACTTATTTAACTTAGTAAATTATATTTTTATTTGTGAAAACTCATATTGAAAGGACAATTTCCCGTTTTATTGTTGATATATACCTAGTCTGGCAATTATCAATGATAATGGTTATTATCATTCTGGTGCCAAAGATGTAGATTGGTGTTTGAATATGGGTGGATCCTGTTGAGCATTGTAATTATTGTCACGTGGACAACCCTCCAGACACTCCAAAGTTGTCTTTCACACACCTACTTATATGAACTTTATAAAATACTTCCATTCCTAATACTCGCATAGTTTTTTTGTATAAAAAAAATAAAAAGATTTCCTCCTTATGTTTTCATGGGTGCCTTTTCTTCACATTAAGCAGTTCTGGCATTTCGGGGAGTCAAGTGAAGCTGGGGCAAAGGAGAAAAATTTTCATTTTTAAAGTTGAGGATGGGGTAAGGATGCAGTTCAGTGGTTGAGCACTTGCCCAGCATGCATGAGGCCCTAGTACTGAAAAATTAAAATATACAGAGAGTAAAAAAATCGGAGATGCCTCCTTGGCAGGGAGGTCCCAAAGTGTCAGTTACTACTCTGGACACACACATTTCTCAGGAATGGCCCTTGAGATTGAGCAGTGCAGAAGCAGCCCTACCTCTTCCTCTTCCTCCTCCTCTTCCTCCTGCTCCTCGTCGATCTCTGTCTCTGCCTGGAAGTCTTCGGCTTCTTCATCATAATCCTCAGCATTCAGTTCCCATGCAGTATAATGAAAAGGCTCTGTCATTTTTTAAAAAGGAAAGAGATTTTAGAACAAGTTATCGGTGTATTATAACAGTCAAAAGTTAGAAAAATTAATTATTATTATTGACAAACAATTTTGATATGTATACAAGTTCTCTGTGAGAACCACACATCATGACTGGGGACAGTGTGCCCCATACCTGCTCTGACTGGCCAAAGTCTGCGTTATTTACGATATTTTTAGAATGTCTTATATGTTGTCTCCAGACATCCTGAATGTTTTGCATGAGAAGCCAGCAGAGCAGGCTTTCGGGGTCTAAAATGTTTTCAGTGCGAGTGTCTGCTCTTTACCATCAACACTGGGCTCGGAGCCTTACTTTCCATCGTCTCCACAACTTTCTGAAGCAGTTCCTTTGGTGTTTTGTTGGAAATATCCAGTGTTAATATTTGAATCAAATTGTCAGTAATTATCTGCTCCATATGTTTCCACATGAGAAGGTAATTATTCAGCTCTTCTTTCAGAGGCTCCATCTCAGGAACACTGGGGTAAGCGTCCTCTGGGAACTCTGGCAGCACAACTTTAGGATAGAAGTTCAAAGAGAAAAAAAAAAAAGAGGCTTTGAGAAGCCTATCTCCATCAGACTACAAAAGAATCTATACTTTATTATGTGTTTTAAATGTTCAAAGAAGAAATGCAACATTCTGAACATTAATATAAATTTATAAATGCATATTCTAATATTATTTTATATGCTCTTAGATGAATAATTGCCAATTAATAGAATCCAAATTATGTGGGCAATGAGTGAGTTTCATATGGAAACTTTAGCTGTTGATGCAAAGCGTAAAACTAGATGAAAGAGCATTATGAACTGAATGATTATACTTTTAATGGATTGACATAAATAAATATAATTCATATTTATTTACTGAAAGAAAAATTGCCCCTATAGAGAGTGGCATTATTAGGAGGTGTGGCTTTGCTGAAGTAGGTGTGGCCTTGTTGGAGGAAGTGTGTCACTGTGGGGGTTGTCTTTGAGGCTTCCTTTGCTACAGCTAGGCTCAGTGTGGTAGACAGTTTACTTCCTGTTGACTGCAGATCAAGAGGTAGAACTCTTAGCTCCTCCTCCAGCACCATGTCTGCCTGCATGTTGCCGTGCCAGCTGCCGTGGGCAATACTGGACCGAAGCTCTGAAACTGTAAGCCACCCCAATTAAATATCTTCCTTTATAAGAGTTGCCTTGGTCATGGATCTCGTCACAGCAATAGAAATGCTAACTAAGACTGAAGTTGGTACCAGGGACTGGGGTATCCCTGTGATAGGCCTGGCCACGCTTTCATTTTAGGAATTTGGACTTTTGGAGTTCGGGTTATGAAAGCAGAGGAATGCAGTAAGTGCCACTTAATGGGCCATCCTAGTAGGGAGATACCACATGGGAGACAGTGGTGCTGAGTATGGTTTGAACTGTGGGGGCCTGGCTCCAGAGCTTTCAGAGAAGAATATTAATATTGTGACCTAGAGATTGTTCTTGGGATACTTTGGTGAAGAATACATCTGCTTTTTGTCATTGTCAGAAGAGTCTGCCTGAGGTTAAAGTGAAGAGATTTGGATTAATTCTATTGGTAGAGGGAATCTCAAAACAGCTAGTATTGACTCTGCTGTATGGTTACTAATGTTAATTCTAATAAAGATTTATAATGAAAAGGAACTAACTGAGCAAGGAAAAACACAAAATAGTAAATTTGAGGAGAAAACGAGCACCAGGAAGTTGAATGAAGCTAAATCTTACATTCAAGGTGATAAACAGATTAAGAAATGGAAAACAGGGAGTGGTGGCCTGAGGTCCCACCCAGCTAGGCTTCCGGTTTGTGAAAAGGGATTACATGAAAGCTCAGAGCTGGATGTGGCGAACACACCTTTAATCCCAGCTCTTTGGAGGCAGAGGTAGGCGGATCTCTTGAGTTTGAGACCAGCCTGTGCTACAGAGCAAGTTCCAGGACAGCCAAGCTTAGGCAGTGAAGGAAACCATGGAAACCAGAAAGCTGGTAAAGATGTAATTGGACAAGGGGACATGTTCCAGTCCCAGCAAACAGTAGCACTTGGCATCGTAGGCCACATGGTTCTGCCTTTAGAGTCAAGAATGCAAGAACGCGATTATGGAATCTTTTTCTGCAACTGAGGAGAGCCTGTGGGGCCAGGCATGTGTCAGGGGTGTCCCTGGACTGAGGCCCAGAGAGGCCATTGGGCGAAGCTGTGACAGTGAAGCCTGGTTTGCCTTGGAGAGCCATGGGATACTGACAAGGAGAGCTGTTAGCAAGGCGTGGAAGCAGCCCGAGAGAAAGAAGCATGTTGCAGTCGACAAAGCTGGACAGAGCTGGAGTCGGAAGAGCATTTTGACATCTGACGTGGAGCTGCAGACTTTGGAGCTTGCCCAGCTGGTTTTCAGTCTTGCTTTGGTCCAGCATTTCCTTGCTCTGATTGTTTCCCCACATTTTGGAGCAGTAATGTACCCCGTGACATTATATGTTGGAAGTATGTAATTTGGTTTTTGATTTTTATTTTATAGGGGATTACAGTTAAGAGATTATTTGAATCTCAGAAGAGACTTTGAACTTTAGACTTTTAAATACGTTTGAGACTGTTAAAGACTATTCAGGCTTTTGAAATTGAACTGAATGTATTTTTGCATTATGACATGGCTACCAGCCTCTGGGGACTGGGGAGTAGCGTGTGGTAGTATGAAAGAAAATGGCCCCCAAAGGGAGAGGCACTATGAGGAGGTGTGGCTTTGTTGGAGCATGTGGCCTTAAAGGAGGAAGTATATCACTGTGGGGTGGGCTTTGAGGTCTCCTTTTCTCAAGCTGCATTCAACGTGTTAGACAGTTCACTTCCCTTTGCCTTCAAGATGTAGGACTCTCAGTCTTCTCTGGCATCATGTCTGCCTGCATGCTGTCATATGCCACAATGATGACAATGGACTAGACCTCTGAAAATGTAAGCCACCCCAATTAAATGCTTTCCTTTATAAGAGTTACCCTGGTCACAGTGTCTCTTCATAGCAATAGAAACCATAAGGCAACTGACATACAGCATAGCAAGAAGCAAGCAGAGACTGTGAGCCGACTTAAGGTTTGGTCTGTTAGGAAACACTTCTACAAATGGGAACTTATATTTTCTAGTCTAACCTGCTTCTGATACATCTTCAGGTTCCAGGACCTCTTTGGGTTCCTTTGAAATTTCAACTTCAACAGCAGTGTCCTCAGGAGTCTCAGAGACTTAAGAAAGAAATCTAAGTTAGTGCTTGAATTTTAAAATGTTACTCTGTATGAAAGTTTTGGCACAAGATAATTTCAAAACTTACTTTAGATTATAGATGGTATATCCAGTTGAAAACATAGATTTTTTTTTAAAGGATGGCCAAAAAATAGAGTACAAGGCAGAAAATGAAAAACTTAAATATACAAAAGGACATCGGAGGACTGGAATGGCCATCTCCGGTGAAAAGAGGCTTGCTTTGCGGCACGAGGGCCTGGGCTTGAATCCCTAGTACTTAGCTCTAAACCCGAGCTTGCCTGTGCATGCTTGGAACCCTAGCACTGAGGAGCTGAGCTGGGCAACCTCATGGGACAGACAGTCTAGCTAAATGGTGACCATCTGGCTCACCGGCTGACCCTGACTGGACGCAACGAGGAAGAGCATGATGGAGGGAGACACCCAAAGTCCTCCCTCCCCTCTCACACGCGCACGCTCAGGTACAGGTGCACCAACGCTCTATGCACACGTAGCACATGCGTGCACAGCCTCCCACCAAGACCTCCAGAATAACAGTGAACACATGGCACACACTATCCTGGTGACTGCTAAGCGTTTTTAAAACCCCATTGTTGTGGCATCAGATCTAGTGTCTGGCCGCTCTTTTCATCTCTCACTAAACTATCCTTGAGGATACACTAAGAGTATCAAGTGACAAGGATGGCAGTGCAGGAGTGGGGATGGGGGACCTGAAGAGAGTTCCAGCGATTTCACCTTCAAAGGGACAGGCTGTGAAGCATCCATGATACAGGACACCTTTCACACACATATCCAGCCCATATGATGGTTTTAGACATGCAGACAACTTACATATCTTCTCACCCCAAAGTCCCCAAGTCTGCTCCTAATTTTAAGATACACATTTTATGAAGATTATATGTATATATATATATGAATGTATATAGCACACATACACATATACAATCATATAATACTATCTTCTGAGTTAATACTTTGGTACTCTTTCAATAGGATCTATAATATTTAAACTTATATTAGAACAGAAAGTAAAAAAGGGATAAACCCAAGAGTTTTGTGGGTAACATGTCTAATTATAAATTGCTCAATTAATGTAACACTGTAAATCATGACCGGTAGGAGAGCACTGAGGCTGCGAGAGAATAAAGTTAGAGGGTTTTGAAATGCCTATTAAATCTTTGGACTTGTGAGGGTTTCTGTGCTTTTAAAAGCCAGAACAATTGCAATAAGACTTGAAAATCATCTACGGCATGGGGGCGGAGGAAATGCATCATTTCTTTCACTAACTAACTGCACAGGACAACAAAGGGTGAAGGGCATCCAGGAGAGATCAGCGGACAGAGTCGGGCACTAAAGCCCAGGAGTTGCTGTCAAGATGCAGGGAGTTCTCTGGGTGGTAAGACTACAGCGTTGCCTTCAACTTAAACCTTTTTCTTTTAAAAGAATTATTTAATATTTTCATGCATGTTATATTTTGTCTACAGATCTGTAATTGAACTGGAGGCTAGAAGAGGGTGTTGGGTCCCCTGGAACTGGAATTATGAGAAGTTGCGAGCTGCAGTGTGGGTGTTTAGGAACTGAACCCGGATCCTCTGACGGAACAGCAAGGGCTTAACTGCCGACTCATCTCTTTAGCGTCAGCGCTTTCGATGTAAACTTTTTATTAAGGTTCTTAAAATTAAGGAACTGGAGTTTGGACAGTTTTAAGATCACAAAAGTCCTGAAAACCCCTAGAAAAATCAGATAGTGAAAAAGTTTAAATCAAGTTGTGAAGAAGGCTTCAGAGCTCACCACCAGTCCAGGGACAGACGCTTGTGGTAGACAAGGGACCTACTTTACAAGGCAGAAGACTGTAAGAGAAGGTGGGAGAGAGGGGAGAAGACAAAGGTTCTCTCTTGTCCTTCCCTCCCCAGTTTGGGTAGGGCTTTGAGTTGAATAAAAAAACTCTCAAACTAGAGAGTAATTTAGTCCTCAGGAGTATCTCACATCTGGCTCTGCAGTGCAGCAGCAAAAATGTCTTAATATACAGTAGATAAAAATATTACTCAAAGAAAAGATAAAAATTCTTGCAAACTCTACTCTCTCCCACTCCTGTTCTAAAGTTAACCCATCCCTTGTGCTGTTAATTCTTGACTGTATGTAAGATTGGAAGTCTAGATCCCAAAGGACTGAAATTGAATATTCAGCACAAAATAAAAACAGTAATTTGAGGTTTGGGGCACATACTTGAGGTTAAAATAAATATCTGTAAGTATTGCCTTGGTCATGGTGTCTTTTCATGGCAATCGAACAGAGACTAAACAGACACAGCCACACTCGTGACAGCACAGGCAGAAAGACGGCACACCTTTCCAAAGCTGCCAGGTGCTCAACAGCAGGAGGGAACGTAAGATAGATTTGGGTTCATATGTATGTGCACATGTATATATGCAGAAGAGTAGGACACAGAGGTGTCTGAAGCAGAGCTGACTGGCAGAACACGTTTAGTTCAGAGGTTATCATACAAAGAGCAGAGTGGGCATCAGAAAAGTCCTGGGAAGAAGTGACCCTTCAGTGTGATTGATAAACTGATGAGAGCTACAGTGACTGTAGAAAACTCTTAATGCTCAGAGCCAAATTGTCTGGGCCAATCTTTAGACAGCAGAAGGTTCAGTTCCTCATGGGACTGTTGTTCACAGACTGAGCTCCAGAAGCCTCTGACCTCCACAAGCCAGAGTGTGTAGATGCACACACACACACACACACACACACACACACACACACACACACACACGGACACAGCCATCAGTCAAGTGTAACCTGGTTCAGGCTCATGCTCAGCTTCCGGGACCTCAGCTTCAGACTCCTCGGGTAACAGCGACCCTCGGGCTTCCTCTTGCATTTCAGGTGCCTCAGACTCTTCATGGGCCTCAAAGTCTTCCCCTTCAACCTCCTCCTCAGCTTCGTTATCACCCTCTTCAACATCTACAGAGAATAACATGGAGTAAATTGTTGTTCAGTCAAAGCCAACAGATGCTAGAGGAGAAGATGAGGGAGTGATACCCCGCCCTGCTCTGGTGTAATGGTGGAGAGAGATGAACCACCACTGCATTACATCGATTAGTGTGGCGTGGTGGAAACTGACAGCCACTCTATCAGGGTGCTATTGGAGAGCCAGAGGAAGGGCTCATTCAGAAGAAGAAAAATGTATAGCCATTCCAAATACTTTAACAGTAAGAGACTAGAAAAAGCCCAATATCCATTTAGTAAGGAAAGAGTGAGGCCCATTCTACCTACTATGGCAGCCACTGTGTATGGCTACTGAGCACTTGAAGCTAGTCTAAACTGGGATATATGAGAGGACAAAATAGATTATGATTCCAAATATTTAGTATGAAAAACTTAAAATGTGTAGCTGCTAGAAAATTTAAAGGTAGTTTACACATAAACTTACATTAACTTTCCAATAGGCAGCACCAGACTAGACTCCCTAGATAGATCCATACGTAGCACAGATGTAATAAGAGATTTACTATAACTCATTGTAATAATATAATATAGTATATTAACTTATATGTCAACTGTCAATATAGAAAGTGTGACTCCAAGCTCATTGTGTTTGTTGATGAGCTTGGTAGGCATGGAAGTTCTTCAGAAGGGCCGTGGCAGCTGCCAGGGAGCTCATCCTCCCTATCTCTCTCATGTCGTGATGGAATTGACACAGCATGTGTGAGAAGATGGAGACAGAGCACTTCCTGTGAAAGGCTGATACGGCCGGGTTAGCGAGATCACTTCTCTGAGTTCCCACGGCCTCCCCCACCCACCACTTTCTCCCAAGGGTCACGTTCTGACGGAGAGTCTCCGGCACCTGGATTTGATCTAAATCAAGGTTTGAAACAGGACGGCAGCACATGAGGCTTCCCAGAACATAGCTTGGAATATGGTGAGTATCCTGGTGTTAGGTTTAAGATTTCATGGAAACACACAGCAAAGATTGTTTGGGTTCCTCGTGTAACTTGTGATGAAATGATGTGGTCAACGAAGGAACTTGAGTTTTCTTTCAACTTATCACTTAAAAATCATATGCTTCTAAAATGTATACTTATTATGTTACATTTATCTATATTAGGTACATTATAAAAGAAACACATAACTAGAAGAGCCCAGTGGGGCAGCTGTGCACCACACAGGTCAGGAATGGGTTAAAAAGCATTTTAAGATCTTTGAACTATTTGTAATTTCATTATTGATCATGTGTTGTTTCCTACTGGTTCATAATAAATCCCTCCAAACCATCGCCCGTTATCCCTGCAGTTTCTGAGAGTCAGGAATTTAGCAGCGACTCAGCTGAGAGGTCCTGGCTTAGTGTCCCTGAGCTGGTGAAGATATTGACCAGAGTTGCAGTATCTGAGCACTTAGCTGGGGCTAGGACTCATTTCTAGGATGGACTGTTTACAACCAGAACTGAGGTGCTCAGTTGTGCCCACTCAAAGTCCCAACGCACAAAACAGCCGTGCAGGAAAATGGGTGTTTTACAGAGCTACACTTTGGAGCGGTTGAAGGTGGAGCAATGGGTAACTCTTTTAATCCCATGGTCTCTTTGACCATCCCACAAAACTTATGGACCTCTTTTCAGAATAAAACTGTCAGACTCATAGAATAAAATACACAAGAAACTAGTTATATTGAGAACCAGTTCCTAAGACATAAAATTATTTTGGTGCTATAGGAAATATGTTAAAGAAGAAATAGTATCCAGCTTCATAACTACTACAATTGTAACAGCAGTAAATGCACACACACACACACACACACACACACACACACACACACACACATATATATAAACTGTGGAGCAATGCACAAATATCTGCATTTGTGTTGATGACAAGCCAAGGGACAGCTAACACCACGGTGGTTTGTTTTCTTTGGTAGTAGTCAAGAGACACTAAGGCTCAGTTAAAGTCATTGAAAATAGAGTCGAAGTTGAACTTCATAGATCTGGAACTTAATTCATAGACCTCAGTTTGAGAACCCCAATCTTAAAAGAGAAAGTTCTTCCATAAACGTGGCGGAAGTTTTAAGTCTGAAGACGTTGGGTATTGCAAGAGTTTGACTTGTCCTCAGCCTTTGCAGGGTTCTTCCAATAGAAGCAATTTCAGCAACTAAGTGCAATCCATGACAGAGGCACATTCTGCAGTGTGTCCTTCTAGAGGGTGCACTCGTGGGTCTCATGTTAGCAGCACCCTTTTTTGATTTAGGAATTTGCCCCGTGAACCCATAATCCCAGTGAGAATATACTTTATTATGGAATTTGGAACACGTTTGATGTGGAATATTATTTGAAGATGTGCAACATTTGTTTATGCTGTGGAATATTTGTCTAATGATGCAAAAATGTGTTGCATTATTTTATGTTGCATTTTTTAACTCTGTGAAGTGTGTTACTTTGCCTGCCTAAAACACCTGATGGGTCTAATAAAGAGCTGAATGGCCAACAGCAAGGCAAGAAAAAGGATAGGTGGGGCCGGCAGGCAGAGAGAATAAACAGAAGGAGAAAAAAAGAGATCAAGGAGAGAGAAAAGAAGGGGCCAGCCACACAGCCAGCCACAGAATAAGAAGAAAAGATTTGCAGAAATGGAGAAAGTTAAAAGACCGGAGGCAAAAGATAGATGGGATAACTTAAGAAAAACTGGCAAGAAAGAAGCGAAGGTAAGGCTGGGCACTCATAAAAGAGGATAAGCCTCCATGTGTGTGTTTGGGAGCTGGGTGGCTGCCCCCCAAAAGAGTAAAGAGTGAAAAGAGTAAAGCAACTATCAGCAGATGCTGGGGGAGGAAGGGGTACTTTCAGGACTAGGGGGTGTACTGGAAATCCACTTGAAAATGGCAGTAACGATACAAGATTAAATGACAGGCTAGAACTGTTACAATCTATACCTGCCTTTTTCTTTCTTGGCCACAGTTTCCATCATCCTCTGTTTTTCTTCTTCTAGTCTCAGTTCCTCTTCTTTGGCTTTTCTGAAATGAGAACGTCCAAAATTTAATTTTTTTTTTTAAAAAAACCAGACACTTCCCATTATTAAGAGGTTAAATTCTCACGGTGGCAAGCAGCAAATGCTTCATTGTTAATCCTCCATTATGCGACCTATGACAGTGTACAATTCACTCAGGCTGAAGCCAGTTCCTTTTCAGTCAGTGCTGGGGTAGTTTTGGTAAGAAGGTGGGGAATGTTGTATTTTATACTATGGCTGTCGGTTAGGAAACCTGTTAAAATGAGTGAAAGATTCCCTGAGGGAAGGTGAGAGGAAGGGGGGGGCGGGTCTATAACATTCCCCTCAGACTCAGTGGGTGATAGTCACAATATAATGTTGCTGAAAAGAAGTAGAGTACAAAACTATATATATGATATCATTTTGGCTTTGTGTCAGTAGATATGAGAACTAGGAGGCTAGGAAATTAATCCAGTTAAAGACAGTGACTATTGCCGGATGGTAGCATTACGAAGGTGCAACTTATAACATTTGCATTAGTTTTTCTTTTCCCTATGGAATAGAGAATGTGTTTCTTTTCATCAGAAGAAATCAGAGCCTGGAGAGATGGCTCGGGGGTCAAGAATGCTTGCTCCGCTCATAGAGGTCCTGGGCTTTATTCCTGGCACGAACGTGCAAGCTTACAACTGCCTGTAATTCCAGTTTCAGGAGATCTAGGGCCTCCTCTAGGCTCCAAGGCTATCTGCATTCACGTGTGCACACTTCACCCCCCATATATATACAGAAATTAAAACTTACAATTAAAACATAAAGTTTTAACACACTAATGACTTCTTTTTACCAACCCAGGTTTGTTCTAGGCAGGACTGAACTACACCTCCCGTTCCAGTAACGATGCCACTTAGAAAGTCTTTGAGTATGGAAGCTTCAGCACACAGTGGGAATTTGGATTCCATGAAGGTTGAAGCACTTAAACTTTCCTAACAGTGGTGAAAATAGATAAATGGAAAGTTAGCAAAATGTGGGGAGCAAGGCCTGGTCTATTAAATAGTAAAGAGATATGTATCTTGGCTTGAAATCCCGTGCCTAGGAATTTAGAAATAGGCATACCACTGCACAGCAAAGCACATAAAAACTTGGTTGCATTATGGAGAACAACAACAACAACAACAACAACAACAAACAACACCAAGTGTTCGCCGGCAGGAAAGCAAGCAAGGCGGGCTCAGTGTCCACAGCAGCTCCTGGAGCCACTGCCCTCCAAAGAACTATGTGGCATGACTTTGCGTCTGTTTTTCCTTCTTTGAAAGCTAGTGATGATTCTCTTTGGGAGACACTACCACCATATTTCTGGCTTAGGTTCTCCTGCTGTGTCCTGTGTTCCACCCAGGAGTGTTGGTGTTATTGGGACTCTCCCTGTTCATGGCCCAGGCCAGGCAGACTGCTGAGTCTTCTTGACCCATCTCCTTCACATTCTGTTTTGACGTCTGTGTCAGGAGGCCCAGGAAGGCTGCTTATGAGAACTTCCTTTTCTAAAACCTGATAAAGTATTCCGCTGGGAAGTCCCAGGCCTGCTCAGGCTGGGAAAGAACCTCTGAAGCATTTGAAATAATGATGGCAGGTGGCCTTGTCATTCAGCTGGATTGTGTGCAGACGGATGCCAGGAAACCCAGAGTTCAGCACGTTTTTAGATGTTTGACCTGTGATGCAAGTCTTAACCCAGCTATGCTTGTCTCTGTTTAGATAACCTGTAGAGCCCTTGAATGCATCTGGGAGGCATTTTTTTCTTACTCTTTAAGGTTTTATTTTCTCTAGAATATAGAAGAAACTTTCTGTGAAATGCCTATTGCTGAGTTTAGAAATCAGCATGTAGAACTCTTGAGACGCGCACACGGGTTTTGGCATTAAGAAGCTCACGAACATGTGGGAATGCCAAACCACATGAATAGAAATTGATTGCAGAACTAGAAAATTCCAGATAGTAAAAAAGAGAAAGGGGAAAAAGCACTGTTGGGAGACATTGGGGGACATAACTGTTCTGAAAAATGACATAGGTGTATTTTTTGTGTGTTTAAAATGAGCATGTTACCAACTGATAAACAACATGAACCTGGCTGTCATTTTACACTAGGAGTTCATCCGTTCTTTGCAGTACCATCCATGGGTAGAGAACACTCTTCCAGGAAGGCATGTGTTATTAAATAAAATTCCAGTACCAGGGATGGGAGACCTCTCTATGAGTTATTAGTCAGGGAGGACCCAAACGGCACAAGCTGTTGCTATTCCTTTTGGTTGCCCACCATAACTAGACGGTCAGACCCCATTGCTGAAGAGACCACACGCTTTGGTCACAGGCCAGGGAGAGATTATGTTGGAAGTGAAATAGAAGCTTCCTTGCTACTAGCTAGCTTCCATCACCCAGAAGGTGCTATGCAGGCAGCTGGGGGAGAAAGTTACCAATAGTGTTACCGAGCCATGAACCCTTTGAGCTTCAATAATGATCTTAGGAAGGATGTACCCTCTGGTACAGCAGGGGCGAGACTTTCTGATTTCTGCATCTGACTGGATCTGAGGCACATGAGGGAGCTCATGCTGGCTCTTTAAAGCTGGTCAAGAGCCTGTGACTGGGAAGGTCATAGGCACTACCCAAGAACATACTAGATTGTGTGAGTAAATGGTCATGTAAATGAGTGCCGTATTCAGCCTTCATCAGAGAAGCCTGCTTTATTTTATTTTTATTTGCACGTATGTTTGTTCGTATGTATGTATATGTGTGTATTGATGTGTTTTACTTGTGAAGACTAGAAGAGGGTGTCAGGCTCCCTAGAGTCGTAGAAGCAGGCAATTGTAAGCTACCTGAAATGGGTGATGGGAACCAAACTCAGGTCTTCTACAAGAGCAGCAGGTATTTCTAACTACTGGGCCACCTCTCCAGCCCCAGAGAATCTTCAGTACAGTGGGAAGCCGTTACTCTAAGATACCACAGCAGGCCAAGTGCCAGAGTAAGTGCGAGTGGAGGCCTCAGCCCTTAAAGGGAGACCTATGCCACACTAGCTAAGACTCAAGGAACATCACAGAAGAGGGTGGGAAAGATGGAGGTGCCACACGACTGGAGAGATGGACAGCACAGGGGAGTCTTCTGGACATCACGTGGCTGTCGCCCTCCTGAGTTCAGCTGTGGAGATCTGCACCAGCCTGCATAAAACTGCGCCTATCAATATTTTGTCATTTATGGGTAGCTGAGGCCTGAGCCCTCCCCCGAGGGACTCCTGGCAGCTAATGATTGCTGGGAGAAAGTCTGCCTTTTTTTCCCCCCATGGTGAAGCCAGTGATAAGGTGCCCATGCCCCAGTAAAAAGTGAGTAGCATCCAGCCCGTGCTCAGGCGAGAAACCAATTAGAGTCAATGGCTCACACACATAAAGGACAGGGAAGTAGCCTGGGGACTCTATGGGAAGAGGGTTTCCCTCAGCAGAGGGAGAAGGATGAGATGGACCAAGTGACTAAAATTCCTTATGTACAGAGTAAAGCTATCAAAGAATAAAAAAATGAAAAGAAGGATTTCATCTCTTCTTAAACACTTAGCTCTTTTGCATACACTGGAAAATTTATGTAGTTCCTTACACTTAGCAGATTATAACTATTTATAAAAAAGTCTTTTAATTTTGATTTTATTTTTTGAGATAGGGTCTCACAGTGTAGCTCTGGCTGGCTTGGAACTTGACCTGCTGAGTAGACCAGGCTGGCCTGGAACTCACAGATCTGCCTGCCTCTGCCTCCTGAGTGCTGGGGTTAAAAGCTACTACACTTGACTATAACAAAACCTTTAAAAACTCAAAATAATGCAATACATTTGTAATAGCTTTTCTGAACTAGAAATAAATATTCATCAATAAATAAAATACTTTTACTCACAAATTCGACTAAATTATATTTCATTAGGTTTGATGTCAAACTCATAAAGGAATGCTTTCTTAAATAAACATTAAGAAGGCAGGTGTTGTAGTCTATGCCTGCTATTCCTGCACTTGGAAGGCTGAGGCAAGAGAGCTGACAGGAGTTCAAGGCCAGCTTGGTCAATATAATGAGTTCCAGCCTGGTTACTCAGTGAGATCTTGTCATAAACAATCACTGAAAATGATGTGCTCTGACAAACCCATATTGGCTAAACACCCTCATCACCCACTTCCCAGAGTCATCACTTAAACCCCTCCCCCATTGTTGTTGGAATTAACTGGGCAAAGATGTGTGACATTTGTTTATGCTGTGGGATATTACTTTAACTGTGTAGAGATGTGTTACATTTGTTTATGTTGTCAGATATTACTTTAACTGTGTAGAGAGGTGTTACATTTATTTATGCTGCGTTGGTTTAATTATGTTAAGATGTGTTAACATTTGTTCACCTTGACCGCCTAAGGCACCTGATTGGTCTAATAAAAAGCTGAACTGCCAATAGCTAGGCAGAAGAGGGAATAGGCTTTTTGAGACAAGATTTTACTGTGTAGCTATGGCTGGCCTGGAACTTATTAGACCTGCCTAGTCTTAGACTCAGAAGTCCACCTGCCTCTGCCTCCCAAGTGCTGGATTCAAGGTATGCACCACTATACCTGGCTCTAGTCTTTCTTTTGAGACAGGGTCTCTGTATTATGTGGATCTGGCTATCCTGGAACTAGCTAAGTAGAACAGGCTAGACCAGAACTCCCGGATACCAACAGGTCTCTGCCTCCTGAATCAGACTGGGATTAAAGTTGTGCCCCACCACTGCCTGGGCCAAATCCAGTCTGTGGAAGAGAATATTTTGGTAAGGAAGAACAACTAGTTAGGTCCCTGTTCGACTATTTATTTCATTTCTCAGTCTGAGAACATCACAGTTTATTAAAGATCAGTCTTGAACCTTAGCTATAATGGCTTGCTCACAATTTAAAAGTGCCTCGTTTCATGCAGAGCAGAGAACAAAACTTCCACGCTGCATTTGTAAGATATACATAATCAGTTCTTTCCTTCCATGGAGGCAAGGCAGATTTTCCCCTTAGTTATTCCATGTGGTGTATTTTTAATGTTCTATTGTGTTATTGTCTCAGTGTGTGGATTCAAGTTATTAAATTTAAACCACAGATAGATGTATGTGTTTGTGTGTGTGAGTGTGTATTTGTGTGTGTGTGTGTGTATTTATATGTGTATGTGTACTGGTTAGGATTTTTGTCAACTTTATACAATCTATACATATCTGGGATAGAGGGAACCTCAGTTGAGACAATGCCTCTATCAGATTGTCTATAGCAAATCTGTAGGACATTTTCTTGATTGATATGGATACCAACCCTGTGTAGGCAGCCCTAGGTTGTAGAGGAAAGGCTAAGCAAGCTATGGGATCAAGTCAGTAAGCAATGTTTCTCCATGCTCTCTAAGCAGAAATAAATCCTTTTGTGGTAGTTTGAATGCAATTGGCCCCCATAAGCTCATAAAGAGTGTCACTCTTAGGAGCTGTGGCCTTGTTGAAGTAGATGTGACCTTGTTGGAGGAAGACTGTCACTGTGGCTGTGGGCTTTGAGGTCTCCTTTGCTCAAGCTTCACTCAGTGTAACAGTCTACTTCCTGTTGCCTGCAGATGAAGATGTAATTTGTTCTCCATTCTCAGCTCCTTCTCCAGCACCATGTCTGCCTGCACGCCACCAAGCAGTACCATGATAATAATGGACTAAAACTTTGAAACTGTAACAGCCTCAATTAAATGCTTTCCTTTATAGACATTGTTGTGGTCATGGTGTTTCTTCACAGCAATAGATACCCTAACTACGACTCCTTATTACCACAAATTGTTTTTGGTCAGCGATTTGTCACAACAACAAAAAGTCAACCAGGGCAGAAGTCCTCTTCTACATGCACTTTTTTTTCTTCTGGAAGGTTGATGTGTGTGTGTGTGCATGTACGCACGTGTGTGTGTGTGTGTGTGTATGTGTGCATGAGTGTATGTGTGTGCACACACATGCATGTGTGTGTGCATGTGTGCATGAGTGTATGTGTGTGCACACACATGCATGTGTGTGTGTGTGTAATCTAGGCTCATTTTTTTCCCAGATGCCTGATGAAGAAAACTTGAAATGAGTTGTGAAACTATTTACCGCTGAGTAGATTTTCAGGAACTTTCTGTTTGTTTTGGACACAGTGGGATTTTTGTGCAGTTAATGGACAATCTTTTTGATGTTAGGGACATTTTATAAGCGTAACCTGTGAGAGGCTAAAAACCTGAAGGTTTATACTGGGGGTTGGAGAGATGGTTCTGTGGTTAAGAGTGCTCACTGCTCTTGTAGAGGACCTGAGTAGAGGAACATGGGTTGCTTCCCAGCAACCTCTAGCTTCAGCTCCAGTGCCCTCTTCTGCCCTCAGTGGGCATCCACACACAATTGACACACACATATACATAAATAAAAATAAAATCTCTGAGAGCAGGGTCATGTTCAGTGTGTAGCGTTTTTTGGTCTACATGAACCTTACCGTATTTCCTCCTCTTCCTTTTTCTTGGTTTGCAGTTCATGTTGTAATCTCTCTAAAATCTTAGCATCAACCTCATGCTTATTCTTTAAATATATTCTATTTAAAAAACATTTTCCTGAAATACAGATAAAGAGAAAAAAAATTATTTTGAAATTGCATAGAATGTGGCCTGTTTTGGAAATTAACTACAGAACAACCTTAGACTATGCACACACAAATTTCCCTGTAAGTTCTTATCCAAAAAGAGCTCCAAGTCTTCAAAAATTTTAGTAGGATGGCTTAAATCTTTTTTTGAAAGGCATATGCCACTATGTAATAAATAATGAAAACATGAAAAAAACTGTGTCCATGCTGGGAATTCTTATTTCAAATATTTTTTAAAGACTTTTTCTTACATGTGTGTGTGTTTGTATGTACACTCATGTGCATGTATGGCAGTCAGAGGACAGCTTGCCGAGAGTTGGTTTTCTCCTACCGTATGGGTCACAAGCATTGATCTCAGGTTGTCAAGGTTGACTGAACAAACATTTACCCCACCACCTCTCAAATATATTTTCTTAAAAGGTGAAGTGGTAGACTATTTAAATTCGGTGTCAGGACTGTATAAAAGGTGAAGTGATAGACTATTTAAATTCGGCATCAGGTTTGTATAAAAGGTGAAATGGTAGACTATTTAAATTCGGCGTCAGGATTGTATAAAAGGTGAAGT